CTATCTCACCCTCCTAATTAAGTAGCATCAGTGTCTCCCCTAATTATGATATTTTCCGTTATACGAGTAAAGAAATGCCCTTAGTTAAAATATCTTGATTTGTAAATGAAGGTACCCAACACTTTTAATCAATTTAAAATACTCTTGAGAAGCACTCCTCCTAAGTAGTGAGGGAGAAAACACTGTCAAATCATGAGGCTGCCATTTCAATTGTCTCATATCTAGGTGTTCTGGTTTTTCCTGATTTGTTGAATGAGGTATATCATTTTGGATCACATGGACAATGCTTGGATGTGGGTGATTAAAACAGTAAAGTGTCACTGAATTTACAGCCATAAGAAACACAAAATAAAATAAAGCAGCAACAACACTAAACAAATGTAATTTCCTTTTTTTAAAGATTTATTTTTTATTTATATAAGAGCTGGAGAACAGGCCAGAGGTGCGGGAGGGTGAGAGGATTCACCAGAGAAAGAGTGGGGAGCAGAACAGGCAGAATGACAAAATACACTGCTGAGGGTAGCAGCAGGCGAGACAGGAAAGGTCTGCCGCACCATGAAGGAATCTCCTTGGCCGGCCAGGAATGGAACCGGCGCTGCAGAGGCTGCAGACAGCTTCACAGCACAGCGCTCAACCCGCTGTGCCACCGGGGAGGCCCTAAACAAATGTAACTTTCAAGGAAAACCTGGTTTGATGAGGCTGAATATGCAAACCTTAAAGAAGATGGCATTAGCCTTTACAGAACTTCGCAATTCATGACATTACAATGTTTCATTGAACTTAGAAAGCCAGGGTTCTTTCCCTTTATATGAATGGACATCATCCCTTTGTCCTAAGGCAGTTATATGGTGACAAGAACTATACAAAGTTCCAGAAAGATATATATATATATATATATATATATATATATATATATATATATAAAGGGCTATATATATGTGTGTCTGTGTGTGTGTATATATATATATATATATATAAAGGGCAATACTTCCTATGCCTATTTAGCAAAAGGTGGGAAGAAAGAGTTAGTGACAGAGGGAAATGAGATTAACAGGTTTGTGGCCAGGGAAGGCATAGAGCTAGGGTACCACAAGCCCTCATCCTGTAAGAGGAGCAGAAACAATGAGAAAATACCATGAGTCTTCGGGAGAATGTATACTTCCATTACCTCATCAGAAGTTAGCAACTCTGGACAACTCTAGGAATTTTGAAGTCCTTAGGTGGGCACTGTGACCTCAGAATTGTGGGGAGGTTTTGCATATTTTTAGTCCTGCTTTTGTTAACTGTTTGCCCCCAGAGTGAGACACTGGTTTCTCTCTCCTTGTGGCATATCCTCGCTTCCTTTCTCTGGTCCCCCCCACCAGTCACTGGCAGAAAGGGAGAAGCCCCATGAGGACAACTTTGTCAGAGCATGACCCCCCAGGAGCCAGGTGGGATCCCTGCAGAGTGCAGACAAGCTCCTCTCAGCCACAGGACAGTTCTCCTCTATCTCATGACAGACAAAACCCCCTTCGCTAGTGCCAAGGAGGAGTCTTCCTTGGCTGGTAGGTTTTCCGAGGGCTATTGCCAAAAAAAGAAGGCCTGTCCAGGTTGCCAGCTAACTAGGCAGAAAACTGTGTGTGGATAAATCAAGACTTGTATTTTTTTTCCAGATAACATTTAGTTAGGCATCTTGGGCCTGCATGTGTACAGCACTGCCATTTCATCCACACCTTTTTTAGAGCCATACTCCTAAATGACTCTGTCAGAGAGTGGAACTCTACTAGAGAGCAGTAGTTAGGGGTCACAGAGCCTCAATAAGGCTAGTCAGGAAATAGCCATGAGGCCATGCAAAAACAGTGAAAGGTGATGGTAGCTGAGGATAAGCTTGGCCTGTCCACTTCTCAGCTCCTGATGGAGTTCAAGTCTGGATGAGTTGATAGAATCAAGAGGTTTTACTTCTGCACTGGAAGACTGTAGAGGAAGGTTAAATGGAGTCACCAGAAAGACTCACAAGGCTGCCGTGCGGGTCTAGCTTCCCCCGCCTCTAGGTAGCTGTGACCTGGTGAGCAGGCACCACGCCTGAGGCATGATCCTCACCTGTGAAATGGAGATGCTGAACACTACCATCCATAAGGGTTCTAGTGAGATGCAAATATAATAACACTTGAGAAACTGCTTTATAAACTAGAATATACTGTCCACTAAGGTGTTTTTATGACTTTGTAGCATTGAGTGTATGTCTCTGGCATTTAAGGGACATAGGTTTATAAAATCCAGACTATTTTTTAAAAAAATTTACCTTAGTCCATAATTCCAACATGTCTACCTATTGAAATAAGGGACACTTGTTAAATTCTACTAGCAAAACTAGTAACTGTTCTTTTTTTTTCTTTTCTTTTTTTGCTGGCACTGCAAAGACTTCTGTTGATATGCTAATTAGCTGAGAAATGGCTGGAGATAAAGCTGAGACTAGAAAAGGTTTATGAAGTTAATGATTGTGCCCCAACACCATCATTAGTTCCTGAATAATAGCAGTACTGCTAAAACCTAACAAGACTATCATCAATGAGCCCATACAGGTCTTGATATTTCCTATTCATAATACAGAAGAATAAAGCACACAATTATTAGTCTAATGGTTTTCTCACATGCGGTGTGTTTTTATTAAGTGGGGCAATATATAACTCTACAACTGTTTTATGGTCTTTTAATTGTTTTGAGAAATGTGGAATTTTCTTGCACAAAGAAAACAATTCTGATATTATCCTGATTCCCAATTTGCATTTACACTAAGCAAAGTTAGCAGAAATGTTCAGATAGGCTGGCTGATCACAGCCTCTGTGCTTGGCACCACCAAACAGGCAAAGAAAAAAAGTACATCTCAGGAGAACATTGACTTGCCAGCTCAAAGTTTCCCCCAGGAAACTCAGTGTGAGAACAGATGTCATGGAGTCTTGTCACAAGGGCACTGGCTGACCTGGAAATAGATCAGAAACATCCAAATTCAAGAGAGCACTGCTTTCTTCCGAATAACAAAGGGAGGCAGCATAGACCAACAACTGCTATGGAAAGGAATGATTAGCAGTGGCATAAGTTTGAATAAAATAAGGGATCAGATGAAAACAACCCAAAAATTTCCCCTAAGCCCCTATGTTTATGGGAATATCATTCCCTTAATACTATTATGAAGTCTGGTTGTGTGGGTGGTGGGGGGCTGTGGGGGAGGGCTTGGGAGGGCAGCAGGAAAGTTGGGGGAGATGTAGTACAAGTGTGCATGTCTGCAAGCTAAAAGATATGGGAACAAATTTTGAAAATATGGGAAAGCACATATTTTGATCTACAGTAAAAAAATGAAAAATGATACTGGAAATAAAGGTATTGAATTGATTACATTTGAAATGCATTTCGTGGAAGAGTATGACCTCTGGTGTTAAACTAGAGAAATTCCAGCACATTTATTTTATTAATTTTTTAATTGTCTTCTTCTATGGCGGTAACGTTGGTACACAACGCTGTGCATGATTCATAGAAACACTTCTCCAAATGTAGGTTACCATGCCACGCCCCGTCACCCCCTCACCAAGCCACCCTTAGTCTTCTTTTAATGAGAGAAAGAGAAGCAGATGTAATTTTTCACAAGCTTCTCTTTGGAGGTCGCTGACCCCATTTTGCTGCTTTCAACCTTTCATTCCTTGCCTCTGGCCTCTCCTCCTTGCTCTCACAAATATAAATGAGGATCTGTTAAGTGCAAGGCGCTATCCACGTAGATGGATATTGTCTGTGTTGTCCTCATCACCTAATTTACATGTCACCTATATCTCTATAGCTCTATACACAGGAAAAAAGCACAATTAATCCCCACATTTTAAAGGTCTGCATATAAGTTTAAAACTTCCTTCGCTAATTCTCTAAGGACAAAAGGAATGATGACAATGGGAACTTCCTAAATATGCCCCTGCCTTAACTCTGTGGTGTAAGCTGCCCCAAGCAACAGAGTTCTGAGGAGCGAGAGAGCAAACACAAAACACAGCTGTTGCATCCTCCTGGCATTTCCCATTATCACACTAATAAGGGCTCAGCTCCTCTGCACATACAGACACTCTTAACAAGATGACTTCTGGGCCAGGGTCACCCAGCACGTTCACATTGCAGTTCACGAGCTTTTTGAAAACACTGGCTAGGCAGAAGCACCTGAAATCCGTTTTGATATTCTGACCAATCCTTGTGCTAGAGGCCAAATCTCCATTTCTCTTTCATGGTCTCAGGCAGAACAGCCTTCTCTCTTTTTTTTTTTTTTTTCTTTCGGTATCTGCTTACTTACTTGCACGTACAGAACATTAAAACTGGCTAACCCATGTCCAAAGAATATCCCAAAATGAATTATTCACTCGAGGGCATGGAAAACACACTCACACTCGAAAGAGCAGGTACCTGGTAAGCAACTTCAGGGCAGCTGCCGAGTAGAATATCAAGAAATTGGATCCAGCTGAGAATTCCAATTATCTAATGAGGCTACCTTCTTTCACTGTAATTTCTCCATCTACTTTATTCATTAGAATAATCTCTAACATTTAAAAAAAGTATGCTTTAAAATGGAAACCAGTATTTTACTGAGCAAGTTCTTCCCGGGGAGACAGGAATTTCAATGCACAAAGAAATACAAAGGATGGAGACTTAAGATGCAGCAGCAACAAAGAAGCCTCGAAAGGGTCCCCTAGAGCTCTGTGCTGGTATAGGGCAGATCCCAGCAAATGCAGGGATGCAAAATGCAGTTCCTACCACTCATCAGAGAGCAAATAAAGAACTGCTTTAACCAGCGCTACCCAAAGGCCAGCACTGTCCCCGGGCAGCGATCACTCAGCCTCGGGTATCACGATGAATGATTTTCCAGCAGGCTGTGCCGGGCCTGGGCATCAGCCCGCGCCAGGTCCTCGCCCAGCGCCGCTGCAGTGGGGTTTGCCGAGACGCGGGGTGCGTTTGCATCCGTGACCCGCCTTTGCTTTGTGTCTGTGCTGCAGGTGGGGAGGAGGCAGAGGAGCAGAAGAGGAGCTGGCGGCGGGCGGTGGCTGAGCAGCCCCCAGGCCCTCGGAGCGAGCCGCCTCACCGGCGCCGGAGACTCCCTCGGACCTACCCACCCGGGCGGCCCGCGGGCCCGGGCGCCGGAGCCAGGGACCCGACGGCTGGGGGCGCCAGCCCCCGATGTTCCGCGGGAGGCTCAAATGTGAGCAGGCGGTAGCCGGGAAAGCCCTCCGCCCCCGCCAGGGGGACCCGGGAAGCCCGAGCGGGCTCCTCCCGCGGACGGCGGGGATCCCCTCCTCCGGCCCCGCCCCCACCCTCCCCGGCCGGGCTGCGGGAGCGGTTAACCCTGCGCGCGCCGTGGCGCACTGAGGCGCGCGCGCGGCGCAGCCAACCCCGAGTCCCAGGCGCAAGATCGGGGCGCGCGGGGCGCACGGGGCCCGCTCGGCTCTAGCAGCGCGCAAACTGGGGCTCAGGCCCCGACTTCGCTCTCGGCCCTGGTGCCCTGGCGGAGCCAGTGGCCAAACTTTGTGACCCCAAAGCGGTGCGCCCGCAGTGACTCGGAGCACGGCGGGCAGGCCACCCTGCGGGACTGCAGGAGAGGTGGGCGTGGGGCGAGGGAGCTGTGGGCAGCCCTGGCCGGCTCGCGTGCAGGCGGAGCGGCGGCCGCGTTTGCGCACCGGCCCACACAGAGCTCGGGCGGCCCAGGGTGCTGCAGTGCCCGGTGCAGGGGATCCGGGCTGCGCGTCCCGCGCTTGTTAGGGAGGCGGCGGCGCAGGAGGGAGGGAGGGATGCCCTTTTCTGCACCCGAGGCAGCCCGGGCGCACCGCCCCGCGGCTCCCCATCCCGAGGGGTGCTCCTGGAAGCTCCGGATCAGCAGGTGGAACCCCCGCGCTCCCTCCGTCCTGGCCTTCGCACCCTAGGGTTGCATCCTGCAGATCCCGCCCCCCTCTGCACCCCACTCACACATTCGCTCCCCTCAGCCGTGCGCGCCCGCAAACTCGGTCTCGATCCCCGCAGGTGATGTCATGCCCATTGTTTTGGTGCGCCCGACCAATGGGACTCGCCGCCTGGATTCTACCGGAGCCGGCATGGGCCCTTCCTCGAACCAGCAGCAGGAGTCCCCGCTCCCGACCATAACGCATTGCGCAGGGTGCACCACCGCCTGGTCTCCCTGCAGCTTTAACAGCCCTGACATGGAAACCCCATTGCAGTTCCAGCGCGGATTCTTCTCAGAGCAGCCGCCGCCGCGCGCCTCGCACCTGCATTGCCAGCAGCAGCAGCAGCAGCAGCAGCAGCAGCAGAGCCAGGACAAGCCGTGCGCGCCCTTCGCGTCCCTCCCGCACCCTCACCACCACCCGCACCTCGCGAGCCAGCAGCCGGGCAGCGGCGGCAGCAGCCCATGCCTCCGGTGCAACAGCTGCGCCTCCTCCGGGGCCCCGGGGGCGGGGGCGGGGGCGGGGGATAACCTGTCCCTCCTGCTCCGCACCTCCTCGCCCGGCGGCGCCTTCCGGACCCGCACCTCCTCGCCGCTCTCGGCCTCGTCGTGCTGCTGCTGCTGCTCGTCGCGCCGGGGCAGCCAGCTCAATGTGAGCGAGCTGACGCCGTCCAGCCATGCCAGTGCGCTCCGGCAGCAGTACGCGCAGCAGCCGGCGCCCGCCTCCCAGTACCACCAGTGCCACAGCCTGCAGCCCGCCGCCAGTCCCACGGGCAGCCTCGGCAGCCTGGGCTCCGGGCCCCCGCTCTCGCACCACCACCACCACTCGCACCCGGCGCACTACCAGCACCACCAGCCCCAGGCGCGCCGCGAGAGCAACCCCTTCACCGAAATAGCCATGAGCAGCTGCAGGTACAACGGGGGCGTCATGCGGCCGCTCAGCAACTTGAGCTCGTCCCGCCGGAACCTGCACGAGATGGACTCCGAGGCGCAGCCCCTGCAGCCCCCCGCTTCGGTCGGAGGCGCCGGCGGCGCGTGCTCCCCGTCTGGAGCCGCGGCCGCCGCGTCGTCCTCAGCCCCGGAGATCGTGGTGTCCAAGCCGGAGCACAACAACTCCAACAACCTGGCGCTCTACGGAGCCGCCGGCGGCGGGAGCACCGGGGCGGGCGGCGGCAGCGGGCACGGCAGCAGCAGTGGCACCAAGTCCAGCAAAAAGAAGAACCAGAACATCGGCTACAAGCTGGGCCACCGGCGCGCCCTGTTTGAGAAGCGCAAGCGGCTCAGCGACTACGCGCTCATCTTCGGCATGTTCGGCATCGTGGTCATGGTCATCGAAACCGAGCTGTCGTGGGGCGCCTACGACAAGGTACGCCCTCGGATCTCTGCCCACCCCGCCGGGGCCGCGGGGCCGGGCGTGGGGTGGTCGGGATGGGCCGTGCGAGCCAGTCCGGAGCCCGCCCCGGACGGCTGGGGGTGCCCGCGGCCATCGGGAGCTCGACTCGGGCGCGCGCCCTTAGCCTGCAAGGAAACTCCAGAGAGGAAGCCTTTACGCGCGCAGCCAAAGTTCTGCAGCAGTCAGTGCCCGGCGCGTGGAGGCACCTAGGAGGAGTGGTTCGGGGCGTGGGGCACAGCAGACCCTCTCTGCAGGTGCTCGGGATTTAGGAAGCCGCTTTCAGCCCCAGGCACTTAAACTCTGGAGTAACTTAATCAGGTTTCCGGAGCCAGGTGCTGCGCTTCCTAGGCAAGGCGCTGGCGAGGCTGCCGGCCATCCGCTTCCTGGCGCTCCCCTCTGACTGCCTGTTCAGGCCAAGGGATCGGGCAGAAAGCATAGCTGAGACAGCACTACCCACCCCTCCCCGCAAGTTCAGGTCCACGTGTGGGGAGCTGACTGACCACCGGGTCCTGGGAGGTGGATAAAAGTGCTTTTTTCTTAAAAGTGCTTCTGTTCTGACTGTGTTGCAGGCGTCGCTGTACTCCTTAGCTCTGAAATGCCTTATCAGTCTCTCCACGATCATCCTGCTCGGTCTGATCATCGTGTACCACGCCAGGGAAATACAGGTAACTTAGATGCCGATGTTTATGAATGACCCAAAGCCTGCCTTCCGGCAGCCTGGAGACACGCAAGGCAGCAAATGCTTTTTTTCCAAGTCCTCGTGTCCTTGCTGAGGTTACAGAAGACATAAGCTGTGTTCTGTTGCTAGCTCCTGACCTGTTCCGGCAAGAAGTTCAAACAAAAACAGGGCAGCATGTAAAGGTGCTTATCACACACATTGCAGGCGGTATTTGTCAGCCCTGACGATTTCCCCCTGCTTCTTTAGGTAGAGCCAATTCTCCCTATCAGGCACTTCCTTTATTTCCCTGCAGGCTCGGGAAGCAATAGTCTTCATCTGTGGAGTAATGTGTGTTTTTGTTTGATTCACCTCTTCCTAGTGGGTGTCGCACAGGTCATGATGGAAGATACTGTCCAGCTGTAACATCTTCTACAGTGTAGCTGGGAGATGTGGGCTTATGATATTCCTAGCTAATATTTCCTAGTAAAACAATACTCAGGCTTGAAAGCGCTAACCCATTCCATGTGCCCCAACATTACAGAAAAAAAAAAAAATCTGCTCTAAGTTTAGATTTAGGCAATATAAAGGTGGCCTGCCTGGTAGTTTGATAGCTTCTTAGCTGCAATCATCACATTTTTTATAAATGTCATGTAAGAGTAGAGGCCACTGCCCTTGTGAGCCATCTTGCCAGAAAAATATTTGTTTGGTTAAGTGTAGCCAGGAGGGCTGTAGTTCTATTGTGCTGTTACTGGCAGTTTCAGAGTTGTCTCTGTATAAAATTCATCGGTCACCTTCTGAGTTGTTCACTTTGCTGCGACCTATAATGAAAGGAAGGTTAAAATAACAGGTGTTTTCAAAATTGAGAAAGATTGGGACTTACCACTTTGGAGCTTATGTTTATAAGTATTTTCTGATTTGTCGGGAGCCGTTGTTAGAGATTGAGTGGATCTAGGAAACCCTCAAATTCAGGTTGCTTTCTTTCAGGAGTTCGTTGCCACTGAATTTAAAACATTCTAAAGAACTTGGTACTTAAACATTTTAGTCTTGAGCATTAATTACTAGATTTTAAGTTAGTAACTAACAAACACAAGCAAAATGTGGAAGAAACCGATTTTAACAATTGCCCAAACATAATAAAGATACAGGTGACCCCAGATGAGGAAGGAATCACTTCATCTTGCTTTCGAATTTGCAAAAACTGAAAGGCAGTGACATTAGAGAGTGAGATTTAGACTGAGTGAGCGTATTTACAGGTAAGTAGTCTAGCTGTGCTGGCAAAAGAAAGCCAGCACACATTTCAACTCTGAAATTTTAATAATTTATGTAGGTCTGTCTTCACAATGCTACTAATGGTGGGCTGTGGCAATACTTTCAAGCATTTTAAAGTGATACTAAATGAAACTTAAGTGTTACAAGGGTGCCTGCTCATTTTGGCTTGGAGAGTAGACATGTAGAGTTGCAAAGAACAAAATAGGTATGGTCCTTTGCCTCGGTTTACAGAGTCAGTAGAATCTACAGTCAGGAGTAGCTTGCCAGACTTCACAACTTCACAGCTGGACCCTCAGAGCATGACCAGGCTGTCAGCTTCCAGGCCACAATGCTTCCCAGTGCACTCACAGTTAGTGTAAAAGATGCCTTTAAAGCTATATTTTTTAAAAAAGAAAGTAGCTTAATTTTTCTTTTTCTTTTTTTTTTTTCTTGGCTTATTGACCAGAGTGATTTCACATGGTCCACCCTGGAAAGGGAGCCTGCTGGATTTGTTTGTTTTAATTAAATGTCAGCTTTCATGTAATTGCCTGTTCCCTCTGAAAAAGCACACAACACAGTTAACCAGAGTTCATGGAGGACACTTCATGATATTAACACCAAGAACAAAGTGTGTTTCTGAAAACACTGACTTTTTGAGGATTATTGGGGGATTGTTTTAAATACCTTATGGATGTCTGTTAATTCCATGCTGTAAAAAAATTTGATACCACATTAGAACTCTTAAAATGTATATAAACTACAGAAAATGAGGTTTATATGAAAAAAATTCCATGCACTCGCAAATTGTGAGGACTGTTTCTGTTACACAGATGCATGGACACATTGATGAGAATATTGCTACAAGGCAAGTAAGCACCGGAAGCTTCTGCCCGGTAGGGGCAATATAAGAATCACAGAATGTTAACTGTAAGTCAGGTTGATTTTTCTATATGGTTTCTGTGAAGTCAGCCACGCTCAAGATAATTTCAAAATAGAGACTTGAATAATATTTAGTTGTTTTACATGTTACTGTAAGTCAGGTTGATTTTCTATAGGGTTTCTATCAAGTCAGTCACACTTCAGGTATTTAGTTGTTTTAGATATTATTTTTGCACGCAGTGTTTAATCTAGAGGGATTTCTTCCTCAAACTCAAGTTGTGCATTCTTACTGGAGTTTCTGTTTGAAAAACATAAAATGGAAGAGGATCAAAGCAATGTGGAGACCCTGAGCTAGCTGTCAGGATCCAGGGGGAGAGTAGGACTGTTCTAATTTACTCAGACAGCAATCAGTATCTCTGGAAAAACACTTCACTCTGATGCTCAATGAAAATAGGTAGCCGGCATATGCGACTGTGTATGGCAGATTTCTTTTTCTTTCCAGCATGTTAGTATGATGAATGCACAGTGAGAGTTTGCAAGCAGGGCTCTCTGTTACCAGGTACAATTTCTTACTGTATTCTAGAAAAGTAAGTGCAGTACCCCACACCCTGGCTCTCCATCCTCCGGAATCGCTTAACCAAGTTTAGGGAGGCCCTGACATTTTCATGGAGGACCTTGGAAAGCAAGTCAGTGTGACCTTCCCTAAAGTGTTTATACACACTCTGACAAAATGAGATGGCTCAGGTGAGTCATGGACTAAAGTGCTCAAGTTAAAATAGTGTGGTGGGGAGCCTCTGTTAGAGCACAACTCCTACTTTGAAGCGTTGGTCACATTTTTCAGGACCACAGACAGCTCAAAGCACTAGGCTATGCTTTGTTCATTTCATTAATGACTCTTATATCCTTCCACCCTAAACATAAATCACTTCTTGGGAATCAAATGCTTGTATAAAAATCAGATGTAGTAGGAGCACCTTTTCAGCTTTGGAGATATTAGACTTTGTCAAGTAGACTTTATTAGCTCCCCCACCCCCCTCCTCTGGGGCATAGGAAGTATCTCTTTCATGGGCTAAGGACAGAAACATAGTTCAAATCTCTTTTGGTCTTCAGTCTCTTCGGTATCAAAAGCTTTTGAGTGTAGATTTCACTTCATCTTTTCTCTTCAGTGTACTGTGCTTTCTCTTGAGGAAGTCATTTTTGGTCGAAAGAGTTGTTTAGGATTTTGAGATAGGCAGATTCGAGATTCTAAATTGGAAAATGAAGTCCCTTGGGCTGTTTGCTGGTCTTTCCAATTCTCATGGGATTCGTTAGCATGGCAGATATTGTATTTTGAGATCAAAAGCATTTTTGTTTCATTTTGTCTTGGTGATAATATTGTTAGAAAGAACACTAGAGAGGAAACACTCAGATTTTTCTTTGATATCTTTTCAGTGGGATAACTGTACTTGTCTTCCAACTCAACCTTTTGAAGAGGGATGATGTAAATCTAAAATTAGCAGAGGGACTCCCTGGTGGTGCAGGGGTTAAAGACACAGTGCTGTCAAGCTCTTGCCAGCCACTGCAACATAAGTATAATGCAGGGCTAGGGAGCCAACCCACATGGCACAGCAGACCTCTCCTGTCTCGCCCGCTGCTCCCTTCCACAGTGTATTTCAGTAGATCTGCCTGTTCTGCTCCCCACTCTGTCTCTGGTGAATCCTCTCACCCTCCCCCACACCTCTGGCTTGTACCCCAGTTCTTCTATGCATAAATAAACCTTAAAAAATAAAAAATAAAATTAGCAGAACAGAAAGGACAGTTTCTCTTTACTTGCACATCTGGGTCACACAAAGGAGGAAAGAATGATTGAGAATAGATAGGGACCTTATCAAGCTGGGAAGGCTCCTGGACAGGTCGGGAAGTAGGGTTAGGTCTCCCCTCTCTGGGCTCTGCATCTCGTTTTGTGGAGACTGAGAAAGCATGCTCACTTACCCACCTCTGCAGAGAGCAAGAGGATGCATCCAGAATGTGTAGAAAATACTGCGTACAGTTAGTGTTCTTGTTAATTAAGTTATAACTACGCATAGTAAAGCTAGTTCAAGCAGTGCAGAAGTTAAAGCAAATATAATAGTCACTTTCTATATACTGTTACTCCTGTTTCTCAGAGAAACCACTGCTAAGTTTCTCAATTATTCTTTGAGAATTTCCAGAAGATACTATTTCAATATATTTAGGAACATATGCCGTGCTTTTATTCTTTAATATAACTTGGAGCTTTAATATATCTTTACTATATCTTGCCTCATTTGCACAAAGAGACCTCATTATTTTTATCATCTTACCCCATTTTATGGTTGCTTTGTGATTTACTGGATAGGCAATTTGAGTTTTCTAGCTTTTTGCAATTTTCAGTGATGATAGAATGAGTATTGTTCTGCACTTAATTTCACTGAAATACAGACATATGGTGAATATTCAATAGTCCGATTGCTGAATCAAAGGGAATTTGCATTTAGAATGGGAAGATATGACCCACAACCCTACACAAACATCTTCAGAGTTTACATTCCCTGCTTCCCCTCACATTATTCCTCCACAGCCTTGTCAACACGGGACACTAGAGAAGTAAATTTTAAATATCTTTGACTTTTTATAGTCTAAAAAGTTTCTATCTTTCTGATTTTTTTTGGAGAAAAAATATTTAAGGGCATAATTTATGACCTCATACACTCATCTGCAATGTATTGAAATACCTAGTGATACATTATCTAATCTGCCGACAAATTCAATAAATACTGTAATGATGCCATCAAAAGCCAGTATTTACCTTTTAAAAATGAAGCAAACAAAACTGGGAGGTGGTTGGTGAAGATGAGGAAAACTACAAAGTACAAGAGATGC